TTAGTTTATTTCAAGTTTCAATATTAAATTAGCCTATAAGACAAACATACTACTACTATGTGTATAACAAACTAACTTCACATTTATTTCCTGTCTGACGAATTTTTTATTTGAAAGCTAATGAGAACATAACTAGTTACAGTCTGATATCATTAATGTGAATTTATTGAACATATTATTCATTTTTGAATTCTATGAACTAAACGAAAACTTTGCGTATAAACGTAAAGAATACGCGTAACATATACTCTTTTACGTAACGTAAAGTATGTAGGTACGTAATAAATACGCAAGTATTTATTGAGCATGTTTATGTACAAAAACAAATACACCGAGGAATCATGGGACAACAGTTCAATGAATAAAATGAATGAGTCAAACCACGACACTAGCCTGATGCTTGCAACATTTTAAAAACAAAAGGCCGATCTCAGCTGTCAGTTTAGTCTATCTGATTAAAAATTTTACGGTTCGGTATGGTTTTGTTGACCTTTAATAAAACACTGTCAAATCCATACCAGAAAGTAAATTATTGCCTTGTCTACATTTGCTATAATATACCAGAGAGTTAAAAAAGCAGTAGGTAATATAATTTATATTTTTTGTTACAGTTTTGCTGTATTACAATATTGTAGCAAATTCGTATGCGATGCAATGGGATGAATATGAGGGTCGGATTCCATTAAGGCCAGACAACGTGCCTGTCCAGCCGTTACCTCACAGAGGACAGCCATGGCAGCCATATAATTATCAATAATATACAATAAAGTCCATAAAACATTGTAATATCTTTATACTTTAGATTTACAAGCGGAAAGGAGGTGAAGGTACTCATGAAACTGAACAACTTTCCCCATGGAACATATGTCGATATATGAAAAAAAAATTGGGCCTCCCATACAAAATCGCCGATCAGCTGACTAATTTACTATGGGAGACCCAATTTTTTTTTTCATATATCGACCCATGTTCCATGGGGAAAGTTGTTCAGTTTCATGAATACCTTCACCTCCTTTTGGCTTGTAATACCCTTTCCGTTACTCCCTGTATATCAACCTGTAGGTACTATCGAAACTTTTCTATGAATATTTTTTCTGATAGTTATTTGAAATCTGCGTGCGCCGACGCACATCGAAAACGCTTTATAAGAAACGGACATGAAGTTAGTCTCCCTCTTCGTGTGGCGATGTCCCACAAGATAGGTACTTAGTTCATAGTCGTCCAATGTCCTGATAAATCCTGGTGAGGAAAGTTAAGGTGGATCGTTTTCCATACAAAATTTAAATGGAGTTACGTCTTTAAATGAGACAAAATTATGATTAAAAAACTTGATGGGAAGTCCCGTGCTTTTATAACATTTTCGCAAAATAAAACAAATAATTTTTTAACCATCAGATTTCTCTGTAAAAACCGTGTCGCCACTTAATGAACATAGATGGAGCTACTGCTGCAATAAACACGTTTAATTTTTTTGTGGAGAAAATACTTGATATTTTTTTACGTTAGGCAGTTTTGCGACATATTTACGTGTGCTTTCCTCATCTCACATAAAGATTTTTTGATAAAATTGTTGTTTAGCTCATGTGTAACTCGGTTGAAATTCAGATTTTAGTTTGTATGACGTAACGATCCCCCTTGTGGCAGGCCTCTGACACGGTTGTGTAACGCTAACGACCGCCGCCGTCCACCTTTTATATCATTACATCACATACATTTTGAAGACGTAATTGTATTATAAGTTAATAGTTCAAAATGTTAGGAATTTGCATGAAAATGTATTACTCTTTTTGGCGCATTTCAATAAAAGCTTATCTTAAAAATGTTTTTTTACTTATCATTTTTATTTGTAGGTTCTATTCTATGTTCTTGTTATATATTAAATTTTGTAAAGATTTTTGAAATTTTCATAATAATTTTGCTCCCATTTAAATCACAACGGCAATCTCATGATACGTGTGTTCAGGAACAAATCAAACAAACCGCAAAACCATTGAGTTCCGCAACCAGCGTACCCAGTAGGTACCGCTGTGCTTTGAATAGAGCCTAATTTATTATCATTTTTATATCAATGAAATCCTGATAGAGTCAATATTAAATTAATGAAATACAAATCGAATTAAACTATATTTAGGTAAAATGAGTTCCATGCATGGTATTTTCTATGAATTAAAATCATTTTTTAAATTTAACTTTGAAAATTACTAAAAACTCTCTTCAAGACTCCTAAGGCATGAGAAGACCACTCGATGCATTCGCCGCCGATAGCGGTTTCTTTCCTACTTTGTGGTTAACTCAAGTGAGAAAGGGAGCGCCTTACAACAGCCGCGAATTCAGTTCTCAGACCACGATAATGATCAGGAGCTTTTTTGCATGTGAAAGTCTGCTAATGATTATGCTCCCTTGCTCGTATAAATCCATGATGATGATGATTGATGATGATCACACGTACTAATGCTAATCAAACCCATTCAAACCAAGTATTCAAACATGTCCTAATATTTACACACACCCTGGCCTGGACCTAGTGATAATAAAATAAAATTTTATTAGTAATACTCAGATTTTTTTATGGATTTTTTATCCCCTTTGATTTCAAATGACACTGGCGGAATCACAACAAAATGACGAAACGCCATAAAATAAAACAAACTTAAACTCAGCAAAATCAACTAGACACTGGCAAAATCACAATGAAAACGCCACAAAGCATCTAACTAAAACCCAATAGAAAACTACCTCGGCAAAAAACTACTAATAATGACATAGATGTCATGGTGTAATGACATTGTGATGACATTTTCGTGATATTTAGCCGCAAAAACAAACGCAAAAATATTTAATTATTTTTATTTTGCTGACACTGTACTTTTGAAATATTTTTTATACAATATGTCAAAAGCGTTCAATTGGTTGCCTTACGTAAACAGCTGCTGTTTTTTTGTACACAACTTGAAATTTGCTGTGATTTGCATTGCAATATACGGTGCAGTAAGTCGCCTATTCTTATTTATCCATTCCATCATCAGATTTTAGTTATCATATCACATCTCAGACGACTTTAGCAAAGATTGGCAATTGGAGGCCCAAAACAGAACAGGCTGGAAAGAGAAGAGAGAGGCCTTTGCCCAATAGTGGGATGATACGGGCTAATTAAGATAAGAAGATCACATCTCAAGAGTAGAGGGACGATGAATACCAAATTTTAAAACACTTCTCTTGTTAGATATTAATTTTTTTGGAAAACATAAAAATTTTCCACCGCATTCAGGATTTGAACCTGCGATTCTTCATCGATTTCATCTGTTCTGCCGACGCCACTACAAACTGCGGTTTTTCCTAGCCTTATGGTGGTTCGTTACGTCATACAAACGAAAAACTGCACTTCAGTCGGGTTACACATGAGCTGTAGAGTTTCTTTTTAAAGAAACTTTATTCTGAATGATGAAGGCACACGTAAATTTGTCGCAAAACTACTTATAGTTAAAAGATAATCAGTATTTTCTGCACAATAAAATTAAACGTATTTATTGCAGCAGTAGCTCCATCTATTTTCGTAAAGTGGCGACTCGCTTTTTACGGGGAAATCTGATGATTTAAAAATTCTTTTTAGTGTTTTGCGACAATCTTATATACCCACGGGACTCCCCATCAAGTTTTTTAAACCGACTCTTGTCTCCTTTACATACATAACTCCATTGAATTTTTGTATGGAAAACGGAACGCCTTATTAGCCCTAGATACCTATGTACATCAAATATAAATAAAACAAATGGGCTTTGAAAAGCGTCACCCCAATTCTCTCCCTAAGTGTCGGGTGTACTAAGGGCTAATTATCCAGTGCATGGGCAGCAGCGTTCCTTGTGAATAAAACATTTTGCACTGCGCTCGCCGATCTGCCAGCCAAGCATGATAAGTATGGCAATACTCCCCGAAAAGAGGATGCCTATGTCTGTCAGTGGACTGTTGTGGCTGTAAAGGTAAATAGCAAAAACACATACTAAAAGGTTACATTACACTACTTTCATTATGCCTATAAACCTCATCCCCCGTTCTTTCTGTCTCACAAAGATCTTTGTGCACCAGCTGGTTTCACCCGACTTTCTCAGGAGGAGGGTTATGTTTATGTTGTTTTGTTTTTTATTTATGTTATTCGAGATGTTCGAGAAGAAGTAAGTACATGGACAAGAAAATTCTTTTCGCGTCCTACTGCCCAACCGGCTCGACGGATTTTGTTAGATTCGCCTCACTAGTTTAAGTGGCACTGGCTATATTGAATTGAAGCTTTAAAAATTCAAAATGACGAATTTCGAACACAAAAAATAACCTCTAAATTATCGCAGTGGCTACTTATTTTTTTTTATTGCTTGTTAAATGTAAATTTGTTTCAGTTTCGCGGAATTTTTGCAGCTTTGCATATTATTCTATCGCCCTGTGCGAATATGCGTGGCGCTGCCGGCTTTGGTCTATGTATTCGCGCGTTTGCATGGATGTCTTGCTTAGCTGGGGTGGCCATGTTCATAGCCGCTCTTGTAATGGGTTTCGGATTATTAATGGTGAGTGTAAATTTATTAAATTATATTTGAAGTAGTATTACCTGACAGCCTCAGAAGGACGGTTATGTTTTTCGAGAGTATGTACCTATGTAGACAAGAAAAAACGCTGAACGGATCTTGAAATGTGAGGTGTCGTTAGATTTGTCTCAGCAGCATGCGTGACATAAGCTACTTAAATAAAAAATCATAAATTATATGGCGGATTTTATCACTAAACACAACTTTGAAATTACCGCAGTCGGGTTTGGTTTTTAATACATCTCTTGTTGAATTTCACTATTCTTCTTATTCTGAAAATGCGTGAATTGGCTTATTAGCTGGTTTGGTTCCTCAATTTATTCAACTGGCTCAGGAAACGGATTGTCTTGTAGCATGTAGTTATGTATGACAGACGTCATGTGCACTAACGCTTACTTCTTTGGTATGTCCTTTGTTTACCGATACTGCAACCGATGTGGTGCAGTGGTTAGCACCTACGACTGCCTGCTACGCAGAATATTCCGGGTTCAATTCCCGGTGTGGTCACTCAAAAAGTTGATATTTATCACTTAGTGAATTTGTTCCCAGTGTGCTCTGGTTAAGACTTTGTAGGCTAAATCATCTGCTTGTCTGAAAAGTAAGATGGTTTCGTGCTTCGGAGGGCACGTTAAGCTGTTGGTCCCGGTTGTTGTCTATAATCGCTTAGACGGGCGTCGTTACTCAAACATGTCAAAGGCCTGCGACTTGCAGTAGGCGGTTGAAAAAGCTCTGACATCAGGGTTCATCAGATCCTTGGAAGATTTGATGTCCCACTCGAAGAAGAAGAAGAACGACAGTAGTCATTTAAAAAATGATTCTTGTAGGTTCACTAGGATATAATGAGTGCCATACATTTACGGAATCAATTATATTTTTTATTTGTTTCAGAAAAAGGCATATGTCAAACCGTATATTTTGTGTGCATTTTTTTTTGTATTGGTGGAGACATTACTTCTTCTCTTTTATTTCATTAAGTTGGCGACCGATAAATTTAAGTGTGTACGTACGAGTAGCAAAGGCGGAAAGAAAATTGCAAGTCAATCACCAATTTGGGCACTGTTATATATATTTGCAACGCTTTTCTCAGAAGCAGGTATGTAAAATCATTACATTACTATACAGGGTGTTAATTTAAAGGGTACTACATACCGCGCGCGTATGCGTGACGTGCACGTCATCACGCACGTAGAGATGACGTTGTATCGTATGGATTGTATGAAAGGTTGTACACTGAATATGCATGCGTACGCGTAACCACGGCGTAATTATTATTACTATTAATCAATTTATTTAAAAAGTATACATATTTATTACATTCTTTGCACACTTTAACTACATAAAAAAGTTAATCTGTGTGCTGCAATTTCTCTTTAAAAAATACTTATCTACTAATTATACCTCTACATTAGAAAAAATATACCTAGGTATCATAAATAAATACACAATGCAATCATGCGCGTCGCGCGGTGTGTAGCCTCTCATACAATCCCATACGATACAATGTCATCTCTACGCTCACAGTGGTGTCGTGACTACGTGCACGTCACGCATACGGGCCCAGTGGGTAGCGCCCTTAATTGCGTGCCATAGCCATAGCTTTTATTCCCTATCTTGAGATGCTATAGTCCGGCAAGTTCGTGCGCGACCCTCCCTAGGGGTGACAGACGTTGGGGAGGGAGATGTCAGCGGGTAGCGGGAGGTGTAGCGGGGAAGGGTGACGCGCGCATCCGTGCCGCACGTCATATTAAAATGACGTGCTTCCTCGCCCCCCGACCGTCTGTACCCCGCAGGAAGGTCGCGCTCGGACTTGCCGGACTATAAGTTTATAGATGTCACCGTAAAATTACAAACAACGCTGGATTATAATAGGTATAATCCATCTCGCTAAATTATAATCTGTCGTACAACGTACTATTTTTCAGTAGATAACAATACCTCATATTATCATCTGCCTGCCCTTAACCCAATTTCTTTGGGGTCGGCGCAACATGTCTTTCTCTTCCCCCCTATGTTTACCCCTTTTTGATTCATATCATCTTTTACACAATCCATCCAAACTTTTTTAGGCCTTCCTCTCCTTCTGCGTCCATCCGCATTCATATTCATTACCTTTTGCGTCACATGATTTCCATCCCTCCTCATAACATGCCCATACCACGATAAACGGCTAGCTCTCATCTTTTCTGTCACAGGTGCAACTTTTAAACTTCCTTTAATATACACATTCCTTATTTTATCGATTCTTGTCATAGATAACAATACCTATAACAAAACAAAACCGTAAAATTGTGATAGGTACGTTAGGCAGCTCGCGTTCTGATTGGTCAAGTCAGGCATCATGTTGCCAGCGACACCATGTTTGTTTCACAGCTGATTGCCATTTCGTTGGTTCTCGAACGTGAACAGATATTTTTTGTTTCCTTTTTTTTACTTTCGTGTTGAAGATTTACTCATGTAAACTTACGAAGAAAAAAAACTTTTTGCTTACGTTCGAAACCCAACGAAATGGCGATCAGCTGTCAAATAAACATGGCGATATACATCAATATCACATTCGACCAATCACAACACGAATTGACTATTTTACCGTTTTACTTCTTATTATTGTAATATTCTAAAAATTGATTCGTTTAATTGTGATCCGTGGGTAAATCTTACAATATTTCGTCAGATTGTAATTTAACGAGTAATATTTTAATCTAGCGTTGTTTGTAATTTCACGGTGATAATAGACATTAATTATTTTTATTACAGTGTTGGTATATTTCAATATTGTGGCAAATTCGTACTCTGTGGATTAGGATGAATACGACGGCAATATTTCAGATAGGCCATACAACTGCTTCCACCCAGAGGCTAGCCATGGTTGCCATATTATAGAGATAGAACCAGATACATATGTTACCGGCCAAACCCGATTTTAGGATAACCTAGTTTTTCCTAGGCCAAAGTAGTTTATCCTACATGCGATTGGATAAACCGGTATAGACTAGGCTAAACCGGTCCGTCTGATGGCCGATAGGAGAAACTAGTCAATCCTAGACTGAACTAGTTGAGCCTAAAGTGAATAAATACGCTTCAGGATAAACTGGTTTGGGTTAGTTAAAAATGGTTAAGGCTACTGTGACTGAGCTCTAGAGGGTAAAGGGTAACGTTGGATATCCTGGAGACATCGGATACTCTGGAGACTCGAACACCCTAGAGGGTGGGATGTAGCATCGGACATCCTGAAGGCTGGGATACCCTGGAGGGACGCCCTACAGTGTTGTAGCTCTAGATCGAGCGTAAAGGGTATAATCGTACACCCTGGAGGCATCAAACACCTGTGAGGCTCGATCACCCTGGAGGGTGCGGGGTAGCGTCAAACCCCTCAAGGCTCAGACACCTTGTAGCCCCTGACGCGAGCACTTGCAAGGTCGCTATCGGCGATAGCTCTCACGAGCTGTCACATCACGGCTGTTCTTGGTATGTGGGAGCCCAGCCCACGTCAGGCAGCGTCCGAGCTTTTGTGGTGTCCGACGCTACCCCGCACCCTCCAGGGTGTTCGAGCCTTACAGGTGTTTATACAAATACAAATACAAATGTCATTTATTGTGAATCATAGGTAGGTACAAAAGGTGTTATCACAGTAATTGAGATCGCTATGTTCTGCAATTGAGCATACAATAATAAATCATTAATAATACATTAAATAAAATAAAATTCATTCAGCCTAAATTAAATTAATATGTCACAAATCTTACTAGTTAAATCACAACAATCCTTAGCAATATTTATCATTCAGAAAATCATCAATGGAATAGTAAACTTTATCTATTAGCCATGCTTTTAATTTGTTTTTAAATATATCCACACTATCGATGTCACGTAAGGTTTTTGGTAACTTATTGTACATCTTTGGCGCTATAGCGAACATATTTTTATGAAATAGAGTAGTTTTACAAGGAACTAATTCAAGTTGATCTTGACGTCTAGAACTATTTTTATATTTAAAGAGCTGGATATGAGTTCGAGTGAATACGGCGATTTCATAAATAAATAAACATGGAACTGTAAGTATTCCTAATCGCTTGAAGTTTGGTATGCAACTATCGGTGCGTTTCAGGTTACATATTGAACGTATGCAACGTTTCTGTGCTTTAAGAACAGACTCTTTGTCAGTGGCATTCCCCCAAAATATTATCCCGTATCGTAGAGTTGACTCTACGTAACCATAATATGCCGTAAGAACAGTTTTCTGGTTAACAATTTTGGTTAATTTATAAAGGGCATATGAAAACTTTAATATTTTGGTACAAATTTGATCTATATGCGAATGCCATCGTAAATTATTGTCTATATGTAATCCTAAAAATTTCGTAGTCATAGTTTCACTAAGTCGTTGTCCGTTATAAGTTACGTTCGTGTCTAAGTTTAAATAATTTCTTTGTCTAAATTTCATTACAACAGTTTTATCCATATTAATTTTTAAATTGTTATTATGAAGCCATTGTACAATGTCAGGGAGACTCTCACTAATTTCATTCTCATTATTAAAGATTACAGTACTATCATCTGCGAATAAAAACATTGGGTGTGGTGTTGATTTCGGAAAATCATTAATATAGACTAAAAATAACAATGGCCCCAATACACTGCCTTGTGGCACGCCATACTGGACCAGCTTCGAGACAGACAGGTGTTCTTCCTCTGTTTTGCTACTTTTAGGCAGACTACTGATGCTAGTTTTCTGTGATCTTCCCGTTAGGTAAGATTTTATAAATTTCGATATATCCCCTCTCACCCCATAAATCTCCAACTTATTTATTAGTATATTGTGGTCAACTCGATCGAATGCTTTGGACATGTCCATAAACATAGCCAATGCAGGTTGCTTTTTATCTAGCTTGAAGTAAACTTGACTAAGAAAATCATGAATGGCCATATCCACTCTTTTGTTTTTCCTAAATCCTTTTTGTTCATCAGTTAAAATTTCATTCTTTTCCAAGTAGTCATAAAGCCTCCTATTGATGACTTTTTCTAATATTTTGGAAAGTATGGGGACAAGTGCAACCAGCCTATAACACTGCATGTCTTCTTTGTCGCCTTTTTTAAATAGAGGTTTAATTATAGACAGCTTTAGATTCTCAGGAAATATACCTTGATCGATGCTGAGATTCATAACGTAGCTTAATACTGGTGCTATAATATGGGCGACATTTTTCAGAACCTTTGTTTGTATACTGTCATACCCTGTGCTATTTGTATTTTTCAATTGCATTATAATTCGGAATATTTCTGTGCTATCTGTAGGTGACATGAACATAGAGCTACACTTGTTGTAAGAACAGGTACTAGTTTTGGGTTGCTTGCCATTATCGACAATGCATTGTACTTGATTGCAATAGTGGTCATTAAATGCATTAGCTATTTGACTAGGATTCGTGATAATAATGTCGTTAATTTTAATTCGATCAATGTATTCCTTGGGGATTTGTGATTTTGTATCATTAATAACTTCCCAAGTT